ACAAACCAACTTAAAACCTAGGACTTCCTAACTTGTTCTGATACCAAATTAATGCAATCAAAAATTTGGGGGAGGGGGACCCAAATTTTTTATCACAAAAACAAACCTTCTAAATATAATAAAAAGCATAAAAGACTAAAAAGAATATAACTTAAACAAAAAACAAACTTTGCTTATATACAATGAAAGACTTACAACTCTTAAAATTAAACGACTTACAAATAAAGACTCTTACAAACTTGATTCAAACATGACACCCTAAACTTGCTTTCCAAGAGAAGAAGGATACAATGGAGTGGATACTTGCTAAGAGACGAAAGAGGTTAGAAGCCGAGAAGAAAGAGGAGAAGCTCGCAATCTTTCCTAGAGGAGAAGGAGAATGGAACAAGCTCGCAAGCTTTTCCACGAAGAAACCCGCAGGTTTTGGCTTCCAAAAATCAATCACATAACTTACTTTAAACATCCCAAAACATCTACTATTTATAGACAAGAGAGGGGAAACTAAACAACCACTTCATTGATTTCCCACAGGAACCTAAACATCACAAACCACGGAAAAGCCCCACATCAGCCACGGGAAACAGCCCAACCAGGGACCCAAAGAGGCAGCCGCAGAAACCCAAGAGGCCCGCACAGAACCGAGGCACCAAAGCACGGGAAAGGCCACCCAGCAGGAAAACCAGCAGCCAACTGTGGAAACCAAGGTGCCAAGGCACGGAAACAAGCACAAGGAAGCCCAAGAAACAGCCACGGAATCCCATGGGACAAGGACAGATTTTAAAGAAGAAAAGGGGAGGAGAAGAGGCAAAATTAATGAGCTAATAATAAATTAATAAATGATCTAAAAACATAGCTCATAATGAGCTAACTCTTAGTTCAATAAATAAACTAAAAACCAGCTCATAAATGAACTAAATTTTAGCTCAAAATTTAATGAGTTAGCAAGCTCAAGGGAAGTCGAAACCAAATTTTTTTGGGTTTGATTTGACTCCCCTTTGCCTACATCATTACTTCTCCTTCTAAGTGCTTATTTTTCTTTTCCCTTCTTTCTTTTTCTCTTACTCTTTATTTTTACAATTGTGTGATGCTAGGGCTGCAAGCGAACCAAACGTTCGACGTGCTACTCGTGGTTTGGTTTGATTAAAGCTCGTTTGTGATCATTTAACTAACTAAACAAACAAACTTAAGAACAACATTTTTAATATTCGATCCTTAAATAAAAAGCTTGAACACTAATGTGTTCAGTTCATTTATGTTCACGAACAACATCATTTGAAGCTCGTGAACATGCTCGACATTAAGCTTGATTTGTGTTCAATTCAGAACTCGTGAATAAGCTTGATAAAAGCTCGATTAATATTTAATTATAAAATTAATAAATATACGTAATATAAATATTTTAATTTATTATAACATAATAATATAATTATTTTTAATTAATAAAATTTAAAGTAATTAAAGATTATAATATGTTGTATTTTAATTTCCTTGCAATTGCTAATTTATTATATTACATTGTTAGATCTTGCTCATTTAATACCTTATGAATACTCATTCGATTTGTTTATGAACATGCTTGTTTGATAGGTTAAAAAAATTCACTAAATATGTTCACGAACAGAGCTCGTTAAGGGTTGTTTGTTTAAAGCTCGATAAGCACTAAATTAATCGAACATGAACCAAACATGAACACCATTAATTTAAACTAACAAAACATGAACACAAACAATAAAACTCGAATCAAACACGAATCAAACTTGAACAAGCTAATAATAAACAAACTCAAACGTGAACACTCACATACTCGGCTCGGTTCGATTCGTTTGCAGCCCTATGTGATGCTTTAACACAATATAATATTCTCTTTATATAATGCTTAAGATATGTTAGGTAGAATATACACTCTAAAATTGAATTCGAGAATGACGACCGACAGACACATTGTCGCATGTGATTTTGGTGCGGTCCTTTCTCAACACATTCATATATAACATCCAAACAGAATACTTTGTCCATCTATCCTAATCAAATCCCGCAATACTTGAAAATGTGGCATGGTCCATCTTTGTCTTGTTGTTGCCACACGTAAAAAAATACAAAACAAAATTTCAAAATTGAAATATAAAAGCTCATCTCTCCTTCACACTCTTGTTTTCTTTGCCCCGAGTGCACTTCACGTGCTCCTTTTCCTCTCCACACAATTGTATACCTCTCCCAGTTCGCAAGACCTCCATCCTACTCACACAAGACTTTAAATGATGCATTTAAATAAACATGATTGAATAAAATTTTTAAAATGAAATTAAAACTTTAACTTAAGAAAAAAAAATCATAGGTTACGTATGATGAACTTAAGAAGCTTTCTTGCGATCACTGGACTCCCCGGTCAATGATAGATGACTTGCACCACAAGAACCCATGCAATTAATGAAAATGGTATGAAAATGAATTAAATGCTCTTCCTATTTATATAGAGGAAAAAATGCTGCATGGGTTTCACTCGCTTTAATTTAATTTAAGGACGAATCCCATCTCTTTTGAATGCTGAAGGCATATAAAAATGGAATCTAATTTGCTTTCCAATCCATCAGTTCTGTCACAAAAAACATGCAAGTTGATAGAAGGCAGATGGGGCCCATTTTTTAAAATACAAAAATATGAAATTTCTCATACTTAAACGATAAACACGCATAAAATATTCAAATATGAATATTTTACAATTTCGCATGCATCAAAATGCAACTTTTAAATTCAAGCGCATAGCCTCAAGAAGCACGCACTAGTGTCGTAAAGGATGCCACAACTCAAAAAGTGTGTCGGCACATCAAGAAGTGAGTTGTCTCAAATAGCGTGTAACAACCTCATTAAACATAATATTGCATTGGAAGCATGGCAGTGCCTTGGGACTCGGGTGCCAAAAAGATGGCTATTATCTCAAAAAATGGGTAGCTGCCCAGGAAGGGGCAATTATTTTAAGAAAATAAGAAAATTTAATAAATAATGTACATTGAAGAACATGCAAATATGTTATGAAAATACATGGAAATACGCCAAATGCATGCATGAGTGCACTAAAAATAATATCAATACATTGAAAGCATGAGAATGCATCATGCAAGTACACCGAAAAGCATGCACGGTATTTAAAAAGTTTAATTCCTCATTTGTACTCCAAAAAACATGCTAGACATGCAAACAAAAAAGTCTAAGAATGATGCACGGAGTTAAAAACAAGCTAAACTAAATCCCCTTTTTATATTAGGCACTTGCATGCGCTCTAACAAATGCACCAAACACATAATCATAAAGTTGAAGAATATTGCATGAACAAGCCAAACTAAATCTTCTTTTCAAATTAAGCGCCCTTATATGCTCCGACAAATGTGAGCTAACACTCGATCATATGTATTGAGTTCCTAAATCCAGGTTCAAAAATCCTACACTAATTAAATATGAACTTAAATTTTAAGTTCTTTTGTACTCGAAAGGAATGGAGCTTAAAATAATTGTATTAATAAGTGACTATATGACTATGAAATTGATGAAGACATTTTATTTTACTTTTGCATACGACTTTAATGCCTTTTCCAAAGGAAATATATTACACAAATGGAAACTCTTGAAATGCATAACAATTAACAAGATTATAGTTGAATTTGATCCTTTTTTGGCGGATAAGTAGAGTTTTCAAAATTTAGATAATAAAGTAAAATTATTCAAAATCCCTTATGATGATTGTCTTGAAAGTGAATTTTAACCAGAGGTATCAATTCTCAAATAAGGGTGTCAAAAATGAGGCTGGTCGGGTTCGGGTCGAATCTGATATTGACCCGCTGATGTTTGATACGACCCGAAGTCGACCCACCACAATCCCGGGTCAACCTAACCCAACCCGGCTAGCCTAGGATTGAGCAAAAATTGCGGGTGAGACTGGACATGCACGTCGAGCAGGCTAGCGGGTTGGATTCGCAGGCAGAAGCTAGGTGCGCGGGCGGAGGCGGGACGAGCACATTGCGCGGGGCCGCATGCTGGACTTGTAGGTAGAGGTTGGCGGGATGCCCAGGCATGAATCATGTGTGAGATGCGCGGTGGGCATGACACCGCAGGTGCGACTGGATAATGCAAGCAGCGAGATGGGTTGGACTCGCAGGGTTAGGGCTCGTAGGAGGGAGCAGATGGTGCGACTTGCGTCACTATGCAGGATGCAGTCATGCAGGTGGGAGTGACGATAAGATGATTCAAATCCGGGTCAAGTTCAATTTAGTGGGTTGCCCCGGACCCGACCCAATTTTTCAAATGGGTTGAAATTTTGAACCCAAATCTAACTTGTTTGCCAAACGAGTTGACCATAACATGAAATTTTCAGGTCGGATTTTCAGGCCATGTCAAATATTGGGAAAATTATTCTGTGCGGATTCCGAACGTGTTCGAAGGCGAATATGGGCATGCCACATTACCGAGGCCCAGTGCATCCGGTGATGTGGAGCGTCCGGATTCGTCTCTGAATACATTTGGATTCTGCACAGAATAATTCCTCCAAATATTGACACCCCTATTCTCAAATATATAATCCTCACATTTCAAACATAAATATTTTAAGTGACTTCAGCGTTACCCCGATGATGAATGTTTTAAAATAAATCTCAACTAAAAAGGTTAATTTTTAAAATCAAATTTTCACATTGCAAATATTAATTTTTCAAGTGACTTAAATATCACTATGATGATGATCACATTGATAGAAAATCTCAACCAGAGGAGACTGCGATTTTAAAAAAATGCTATCAAGTTTAAAAAATTAATCATTCGGGGTTTGAATTTTAATAAGTTTTAAAATCCAGCATTTCAAAATTTAAATAAAAAATAATCATCTAAAACTTAAAGCAAAATTCATCCACCTTCTACAACTATATGTCGAGGGAAATTAATTTAAGAATAACCTTTACTCACAAAGAACAAATGTTAAGTCGGGAATATCAATAAGATTCATCCTAAAAAAATCTCTCATTAATAAGGATGTGAGACAACTCATATAATCGGTGGTTTTGCTGCGAAACAATATCATAGGTAAATGTTTATGATCAGGGCCCTCTGATCGGGTGGTTTTGCTGCATGTAGGCACCATTATATTACGATCATGGCTAAAGCCATATGCTCTTCAATGGCTAACAACCTTGAGTAATGAATCAACACATAGGCTTGATAAGGCACTAAACCTTGTGATAGCTAAGGCTAGCTTGAATTTTCCCTTTAAACACTCACCCTAGGTCTATAAGGTATCTTTTGATAAAGCAATTTATGACTGCTGATAAGGATCTTTTGGTTAGGTCGGGCCCATTACCTCCTACCTCCTTTTAACTGAGTAGACTAGAGACTATGACAACCCGAGACCATCATGGGATATTGATCTAGTTTGTAATCATTTGTCCCACCATTCGCTTTAAGTGCAAGGCGATAAAATTTTAAATCCTAAGTAGTAAAATTTGTTGCTACTATATGTTGGGTACTAAGTGCCTATATGATGACTAACCATAATTGAAAATGCTCTCTCGTTACCGGGAGGGATAATTAACTATAGGGGCTTGACTCTTGAGCCTACGAGAAGCTTGAACTCATATCTAAAGCCTTCACAAAATGATGGTGAAATATCTGAATAGCACATTATCTTCAATCTGATATGCCTTCGGAAAATTAAAACTGAGATATATCCATTAAAACACTTTGGAAACACGGCGAGGCTGAGGCATGAAATTTTTGGACTTACAGAAAGCTTGAATTTGGTATCCATTATGTTGGTAGCTCAAGTTTGAATTGAATTATGTAAGCCTCCAACTTGGAAAAGTAATTGTGTTTTGAGTTATATAGTCTTCATGTTGAAAATTCAAGCAAATGAATCTTAAGTTGGTAGCAACCAATCTAAAAAAAAAACAAGCTCAAATCTCATCTAAGATAGTTAGACTCTTCATACAGTCTCCCTGGGGTGTAGGGATAAGCATATGTGCATGAACTCCTCTAAAGGTGCTGCATTTGCAGGAGTTTCATGCATTGGGCTATTCCATTTTTATGCAATGGATGCTCGGTTATAATTTGATTTTCTTATTCTTGCTATAAATTATCTTAATTGAACTTTTATTCACCAATCAACTTTATTGAGCAGCTAAATCTGCGAGTTTGGATTTTATAATGAAATGCTTGTGCAGGTTCCATCAGGAGAAGTCTTAACCTTTGGTGATGATAACTTTATCATGTTTGAAGAAGTGGGCGTTAAAGAAGCACGGAAAGCAGCATTTGTTCTTGTTGCAGGAGGCCTTGGAGAACGCCTGGGATACAAAGGAATTAAGGTATAAGAGGTTTTTAGGTTTGGATATGATGTTTTCTCATCCCCATTTAGTCTATCTATAGCAAGTGTGATTGCTAGTTACTTTCGAACAGCTGTATCTGAAAAATGGTGCTGCTGGTGCATGCATACATGCACCTGTAGATGTTTTAAATAATATAAACCAGAACATACTTGTTGCACCATGGTTATTGTTTTGAGATCCTCTTTAAGTTTATTTAGAGCGATTATCATTTTAGCATTATCGATTATTGGGGATTTGCTTGACAGGTTGCTCTTCCTTCTGAGACCACAACCGGAACATGCTTCTTACAAAATTATATAGCGTGTATCCTTGCTCTACAGGAGGCTAGCTGTAAACTCTTGGAAGGTCCGCAAAAATGCTTTTGTCATTATGTTTATTTATCTAAAAACAATATGAAGAAATGCATTTGTTCGCCGATTACATCTTTTGAACATTTTTGTGTTATGAAACTATGTCCAAGTCTTGTTACATTCTTCAATAAACTACATTGCAAGTTCTGTATATGTGTTTGTATAATCTTTAAAACCTCAGCAATGATAAGTCTGTTGTGAAGATCCATTCGTTTTAAATATACATTGCCAAACAACCAAGGTCTTCTTTATCGAAGATAATCTTTAAATGTCATTTTTTCATTGAGTTGATAAACAGCTAGTTGTGGTTTTGAACGTTTGGTATTTTAATCTTGGGCAATTGTGAATGGTCAATGGTGATTCTACTTATCTAACTGCTAATCATTAACTCGATTAAATCTCTCTTTGGAAAAAAATATTTGAGCTCGTTGCAATAGTGTTGCAAATCATCAACGTGGTTAGTCTTTACATGTTTTTGTGGGCTCTGAAAATTAGCACACCGGCCTCTCTGCGGCCCTTTTTTTTCTTCGTCGGTGATGGGCGAGGAGAGTTATAACGTTTAAGTTTCGAGGTAAATTTTCAGAGGCATATTGAGTTTTAAATAAAATACACTACCTAGAGATTTCACTTTCATTTAACGAGGACTTTACGATCTAAGTTCAGGTTTCCTATAGGCAAGTCCCTAATAATTAATTACCCCTCACGATAGCGAGAGGGAACTTTCGATTAAGACTAGTCGACATACAAATTTATAGTTCTTGGTGTATAGTAGCAGTATGTTTAGGTATTTAAAATTAGAAATTCACCACCTTGTACTTAAAGCGGATGGTTGGGGGAATGATGATAGACTCGATCAAGATCCCATGGTTCCATCGTCCCGGGTCATCATGGTCTACTTAGTCAGAGGAGGTAGTCGACCCAAACGACAAAAGGATCCTTATCGGTAGCCATATGTTGCTTCATCTAAGGGTACCTTGTAGACTTGGGGTAAATATTTTCCTGATGAGACATATTTGAATCCACTTTAGCTAACATAAGGCTTTGTGCCATATCGATCATATCCTATTAATTAATTATTAACAAATTTAGTACCGCTGGGGTACATACGGGCTCTAACCATGACTGTAATTTAATGGTGCAATTTGGCGGTAAAATCACCCGGTCAAAAGTCTCGGTCATAACTGTTTACTTGTGGTGCCATTTGCCGACAAAACTACCGGTTAGAGGAGACATGCCACATCCTTACTGACAATAGACAATTTGAGAATGAATTTTAATGATATTTTCGATCAGACATTTGCTCTTTGTGAGCTGAAGTGATTTTCAGTCTTATTCGTCTTGGCAAACTGTTGCAGAAGGTGGATGAATTTTACTTTAAGTTATTTAGATGATTAAATTTCAATTTTAAATATTAACTTTATCAATGAATGTAGGGTTTTAATTCTTTGATAGATTCTTGAGAGTTAACCCCTCAGGTTGAAATTTACATTAAACGAGGCTATCATCAGGGTATATTTTACTTTATCAGCCGAACCTTGTCGACGTTGTCTACTTGCTTTTAGAAGATAGGGTTTATTGTAGGCTTTATGCTTTTATTAATGAATTCTTCTTTCAATAGGTCTTGAAAGCTTAATATGAACATATAAAACAAATATTTTGGTTGACGCTACGACTGTATATTTGTTTAATGGTTCGAGCCGTGTCGACTCCTATTTATTCACATAGAAGGATCGAGCTCAAACTTAAGTTTATTTCTTGACCCTTGTATCATCCTTAGATGTTATGTGTGTGCATATAACATGCTCGTCGGAGCTCATGCGAGTTGTTTGCATTTCGTTTTGCTTTTTGCATGGTATATTTGATATGTTGCGTAGTAACTTAATGCATTAACACATCATATGATGTGTTTGTATGATATGTGCGATGCATCAATAAAATTGACATGATGTACTTGTAGGATGCATTTGTGTGTCGTTTGCATGTTTGAATAATCCCTTTTGTGGTGGATTAATGCATTTGCGTAATGTATAATATATTTGCAGGTCAACATGATGTGTTACTATGTCGCAATTTGCTTTGCATGTTGGATGATATGCTTGTAATACATGTGTGCGCAGTGCATTTACATGTTAATGTGATGCACTGCTACAACATAATGTATCTTGTAATGCTTGAATGAAACATTCTTTTTGTTGCAATAAATGTGGGAGGGCATTTTAAAGTGTTTGGCACTAATCAATTGTGCGGATGATTGTCATTTGAGTGTTCACAACATTCTATTTAGAACTTGTAAATGTCTTCTATATGCTTTTATGAGTGTTGTAGATCCGGTGGCATGTTTAACAATATATTGGGTTTCATTTATCAAGCATCGACTGTGCAATTTAGCTCATTTTGCCTTCTTAAGCTGTCATTTTCTTAGGTATTCAACCTACAGGAGTATATTTCAACCTACAATGAGCAGTGAGGTGCGTCAGGAACCTCCTATCAGTCGTTGGTCAGGAAATTGATTTATTTGGTGTGATATTCTTGCACTACAAAATTTTTGCTTCAATTTAGCAGTGACCTGTAGTTTTTACTAAAACTTTCACGCTTTAGCTTGCAGGTAAATCGTAGCGTTAAGTTGCGAGTAATTTGCTGCTTAATGTAAATAGGCTATCACACAATGCGAGCTTTTTTAACACTATTCTTGCTCCAACATTAGGTATTAAGGAGTCACTAGCTATTCCATATAAGTAGACTATGTTTAGCTCGAATCTTCAAACAATGCTGGTATGCAAGTCGTAGCGCTGCACTACGGGTCGCTTGTTGCTTTTTTACAAGCGAGCTTTTGTGCACTGCAAGCTTTGTTAAATTTACTTGTAGGTCATCAGTGGGCTTTCAAAAATCAGCAACCTAGCTCGTAGGTAGATTGTTGTGTGCATTACGGGCCTTCTGCGATCACATGCAAGCAAGTTGCAGGGAATGTAGATCTTCTATGGTTGCTTATAGGCGTTTGCATTTATTACAACTCCACATTTTCTCATAGATGATAGGTCTCCTGTAGTGGCTTGTAGGTGTTTGCATTTATCACAAATTGACCGCCTTTACTTGCAGGGGATCAATATATTTACCTGGTATTTGAATGTTTGTTGATTGTAAGGGTGTCGTAGCATGAGGGGTATCCGCTTATTGCTGATCGTCACCCGTAGGTATGTTACTGTGCATACAAAAAATCTTTCGTCATTGTCAGCAAGTATTCACATTCATTGTATGCTACGCTGTATATTTGCAAGAGGCTTTGTTGTTTATAGGCAAATTAATGCATTCATTTGTATGTTGATGTGGGACGCTGGGTAAGCTGTACTCACCACTAATTTCCTCGTGCATGTTGATTGGTGAATTTCTACATTCTCTTGCACGTCTTTAAGTGTTCGTGGGAACTTCTACATATATTTGCAAGCTAGCTGACGTAGATTGTACGGAGACTGTCAGATTCATAGCCTATCGTCTGTCATCGCTCACAAGCGGACTAGTGCACTTGTCTGTCAGCTAACTGTTGTTGATTGTAAGCTGGTTATCTTTATCATTACCTTCTCCTCTTCATTTATATTCATGCCACATTCTTCATATATGATTATGGGTAAATCACCGTGTCACTGTCTCTTGCAATTGCCTGCTAGCGGGCTACCATATTTCTTTTCATGCAGGCGACACTAAATGCATGTAAACTGTGTTCACTTCGAACTCCTAGAACACAATTGGTTAACAAGTCATTGCATTCATCACCTGCCAATCTCTTTTACTTGTAGGAAGTTGATGTGTTTGCTTAGCGTTGGCTTTAGGAGGTTAATATGTTCGCTTGAAAGTTACTTGATGTTAATTATAGACAGGTTACATTTGTTCCAACTTATGTGTGCTCGCTGGCAAGCTGCCACATTCATTACACATCCCTTGTTTGTTCATTCATTTGAGTAACCAAGGGCTGTTATTTGGCATTTTGTATTTTATTTATTTTTTTATTATGCATTTATCAAATTAATGTCCAGTTCCCTGTGGTTCAATTTGCAAGTTCTATTCCCTGCATTTTATTCAAGTCAAATCCCCTGTCATTTCAAATTTTGGTAGCCTCTCGGCGTTTACCCTGTTTAGGGGAAATTTGGGGAGTCTTAGTCTGCCCAACATGTCAAGAAAGAAGTGCATGATCGGTGTTGGGTGACACCACAATCGTAGTCGGGTTACACCACAGTCTTAGTCTTCAATCCCACCACACCAAGAAAGACGTGCATATGTCTTCAAGGGTACCTGTTTGAAAACACAATTTTTTCTTGCACGCATAAAAGTACGTACATGGGTCTTAGGTCTTACCCCGACATGCTAAAAAAAGCATACACAAGGCTCATTCATCTCTCTGCAAGCGTTGCACTATATTTCCTCCCACTAGCTAAGAAAAGCGTGTATAGGTGGTTCCCCGACGCGTCGTGACAGTTGAAAGTGAAATTTTGGGAGTTTTTGTGTTTAGAAATCATTATACCTACATGACTGATGTAGACAAAGGGGGGGTCAACTCAGGTCCAAAATAAATCAATTTTAGCCTCCCTGAGTTTACAAGCTCAATCAATTTGAGCTGAAATTTTAGCTCTGGTTTTTAGTTCATTTATTAAACTAAGGGTTAGCTCATTATTAGCTATGATTTTAATTCATATTTATCTTATATTAAATGTACTTTTTATGCTTTTTATGCTTTTAATTATGTAGGTCTCTTGGAATTCCAAACCGGCTTTTGGAATTCCAAGAATTGTCTTTTCCCAAGCGGTGGCTCCTTGGCTTCCTCCCTGGGCTGCTGTTTTCCGTGTCTTGCCTCTTGGATTTCCAGCCGGCTGCTGGTTTTCCGCGCCTGGGCTCTTTCCCGTGGCTGTAGCTCCTCGGTTCCGTGCGGCCTCCTTGTCTCCCGCGGTGGCTGCTTCGGTTCCTTGTCTTGGGTTGTTTTTTTATGAAAAAAGCAATTAAGTTTTT